TAACGGTTGGTCCTTGGGAATATAAAAAGTGTCCATCTTGATGGTTTGGGTGGAGTCCATTCTCTGTAGACATCTTTTGTTTCCAAAAGTGTCAATTATTGTGTTGTGTGTGTGTGTTGTGTGTGTGTGTTGTGGTGTTTGTGTGTGTTTGTGTGTGTGTGTGTGTGTGTGTATAACCCCAGCTATCCCATGATCTTGGACATCAGTGGCTTCACAACATCCAGAGTCTCCAGGAGAGTTACCACGGCAACACCGTGTCACGCTCTGAAGCGCCCCCCGCCGAGGGGGATACATTAGCGTGACGGACCATACAGGAAACCGCATCTACCTCCGACAGACAGACGACCTGAGGGAAAGGTGAGCTATCAGCCAATCACTGAGCTTCATCTGATCCAGCTCCACCTCTCTCGCTGGCTTCATTTTTACTGTCTTCTAGCTGTGGACCCCAAGTGCTCTGCGTAGCTCCCATAATGCATTGGGTTTGCTGGCTGTTCCCATCGGGTGCTGAGAGAAGAAGTGGCAGAGAAGTGAGTGCACACCCAAACACCCAAACACCACACCCAACACCCAACACCCAACACCCAACACCCCACACAACCCCCAACCCCAACCAAACACTAACCCCAAAACACACCTAAGACCCTAACCCAAACACCCCCAACACCCCAAACACCAACACCCAACACCCTAACCCTAACACCCTAACCCTAACCCAAACACCCCAACACCCAAACACCCCAACACCCAAACACCCCAAACCCAACACCCTAACCCAAACACCCCAACACCCAACCCCAACCCTAACACCCAAACACCCTAACACCACACACCCCAACCCCCAACACCCAACACCCCACCCAACACCAACACACCCAACCCCAAACCCCCAAACACACCCAAACACCCTAACCCAAACACCCAAACACCCAACACCAACACCCAACCACCCAACACCCCAACACCCAACACCCTCAACCCAAACACCCAACACCCAACAACCCAACCCCAAAACCCACAAACACCCCTAACCCAAACACCCTACCCAACACCACAAACACCCTACCCCACCACCCTAACCCAACAACCCACCCAACACCCTAACCCCAACCACCACCCTAACCCAACCCTCCCTAACCCCCTAACCCCCTAACCCTAACCCAAACACCCAAACACACACACACACACACACACACACATACCATCACACACACACACACACACGCTTCGAAAGTCTAGACATGTTTTCCTAATGTAATATATGTAATGACCTGACTGATGTAATGAACTGACTGTTTCTGCAGCGTCATCGCCAGGTGTTGGAGGAATCTCAGCGCCTAACAGAGTTACTCAACAGGTATATACACATTATACACCCACATTATACACCCACATTATACACCCACATTATATACACATTATACCACACCATTACACACCCACATTATACACCCACATTATATACAAACCCCCATTATACACCCCCATTATTCACATTATACACATTATACCAACCCACATTAAAACACCCACATTATAAAACCCATTATAAAACCCATTATACACCCACATTATAAACATATTTTACCCACATTATATACACATTATACACCCACATTATACACCCACATTATATACACATTATACACCCACATTATACACCCACATTATATACACATTATATACACATTATATACACATTATACACCCACATTATACACCCACATTATATACACATTATACACCCACATTATATACACATTATACACCCACATTATACACCCACATTATAACACATTATTACACCATATATACACATTATACACCCACATTATCACCCACATTATCAACACATATAACACCCATTATACACCCACATTATATACACATTATACACCCACATTAATATACACATTATACACCAACACATTATAACACACATTATATACACCATATACAAACCCACATTATACACCACATTATATACACATTATACACCCACATTATACACCCACATTATAACACCCACATTATACAACCCACATTATACACCCCATTATAACACATTATCACCCACATTATACAAACCCACATTATAATACACCCATTATAACACCCACATTATACACCCACATTATATACACATTATACACCCACATTATATACACATTATACACCCACATTATACACCCACATTATACACCCACATTATATACACATTATACACCCACATTATACACCCACATTATACACCCACATTATACACCCACATTATATACACATTATACACCCACATTATATACACATTATACACCCACATTATAACACCCACATTATACACCCACATTATATACACATTATACACCCACATTATATACACATTAAACCACAATAATATCACATATACACCCACATTATATACACATTATACACCCACATTATACACCCACATTATACACCCACATTATACACCCACATTATACACCCACATTATATACACATTATATACACATTATACACATTATACACCCACATTATATACACATTATATACACATTATACACCACATTATACACCCACATTATATACACATTATACACACACATTATACACCCACATTATATACACCATTATATACACATTATACACCCACATTATACACCCCATTATATACCCACATTATACACCCACTTATATACCACATTATATACACATTATACACCCACATTATATACACATTATACACCCACATTATACACTCACATTATATACACATTATATACACATTATATACACATTATACACCCACATTATACACCCACATTATATACACATTATACACCCAATTATATACACATTATACACCCACATTATACACCCACATTATAAAGACATTATTTTTTTTTATTTTTTTTTTTTTTCCCCTTTTTTTCCAGTAAACCAGTTGAAAAAAGTTCTCTTTTACAACTGGGGGACCTGGCAAAAAAGAAAGCATGCATAAAAAAAAAAACCCCGAGTACTTGGGGAAAAAAAAAACAAAAATCAAAAAAAACAACAAAATACTTAAATACTGTAAATTTTTAGAAAAGTTATGGGGGAAAAGGCAAAAAATAGCATATGCAAAAAAATTTTTACAATTTATTTTAAACCCCTTTGAAGGTGCAAGAGATAGTGCAAAAAAATACTGGGGAAGATGAGAAAAATAAAAAACAATAAGGGAGGGGTATTGGGGGGGGCAAATTTCAGATGGGCTTGCGGTGCAGGGGACGGTAAGGTGCTCAAAACTGACTTAAAGTAGTGAGGGAGATGAGTCCCCAGTTCAAGTTTTTTTGCAGTTCGTTCCATCTTGGCCAGAGAACGGAAAATTTGGGGCCAAAAGGAGGTTTTGTTTGGGGGATGACCAGGGAGATTACCTGCAGCGCATACAGGGGTGGTGCTGCTATGGTGACCAATAGCTAAAAAAGGGGCGGGGTTTTGGGGCCTGCGTTTTATAGATCCCGGGACCTGGTTTGGCGACGAATATTTAGTGAGGACCAGCCAACAAAGCGTACAGGTCACGGGGGTGGGTATTGGGGGGGTTTTGGAGAAAAAAAAGGGAGGGCCTGGAAAAAAAAACCCCAATTTGCGATAGAGTGTTGGGGGGCTTTTTTTGTAAAACATCCCCGAAGCAAGGATCGGTGGGAAGTATTTTAACGGGGGCATGTTGGGCGCAGGTAAGGAGGCTTTGTTGGGAATAAAAACCCGATTCTAGTTTTTACTTTGGTTTGGGGATTCTTAATGTGAGTCGGGAAAGAAGTTTACAGTCTCCAACACCTAAAATTTTTGTAGTTGTCCCGACTCTAGGTCAGCCCCGTCTAATATATTCTAGTCGGGTGGGGGGGTGCAGCCGTTGGGGTTAAGGCATGCTTTTGTTTTACTAGTTTTTAAGAGCTTTGGGGGCTACTGAAGGATTGTTGTATGGCATTAAGCTCTTTGGGGGTTTTGTTAAACACGTTCCAATAAGGGCCTTAAAAAAATGGTGTCGTCGCGTAATGGATCGAGAGCACCAGCAGCAAGAGCCGTCATTGAATACAAGAAAAAGTTGGCCCAAAAATTAAACCCCTGTGCACCCCCAAGGCTCCCATAGGTCCAAAAACGGGCCCTCCGTTTGACACTTGAACTCATCTAGAAGTATTGGTAAACCCAGGCGAGGCATCATTGAGAACCCCGCATTTAGTTCCAATAAAGAATCGGTGGTTACAAGTCGAAACTTTGGGCCGGGCAAAGAAAACGGCGCACAGTACTGTCTTTACGATCCGGTTTTAAAATCATTTAGGGCCTTTGACGTGGCTGAAGTCACCCATACCACTCGGGAAACCATTGAATAGGGGAAGGGACGGTGGGATTTGAAAAGGTTGGGGATCTGTTTTTTTGACTTGGGCTTTCAAAAAATTTTGAAAAGGGAGGCAGGGTGGATTGGGGCTGTAAAAGTTTGGGGGTCTAAGTGTACCCCCTTTGAAAGGGGGATGACCGCGGGGAATTTCCCCCTCCTGGGGATCTCGACATCCCAAAAAAGGTTTTTACAGGGTATTAAAAGGGTTTCACAATTTTTTGGCGGCTAGTTTAGAAAAAAAGGGGCCAATTTCTATCCAATATTTTGTAGGGGCCATTTTGGGAGCTCTTTTAGAAACATCAGCTGTCTGGATTTGTGTGAAGGAGAAGCGGGGGGGGCATGGGCAAGTTGCAGCGGAGGGTGCAGAGCTGGTGGCCGGGGTAGTGGTAGCCAGGTGGAAAGCATGGCCAGCCGTAGCAAAATGCTTGTTGAAATTCTCGATTATTGTAGATTTATCGGTTGGTGATAGTGTTTCCTAGCCTCAGTGCAGTGGGCAGCTGGGGAGGAAAGTGCTCTTATTTTCCATGGACTTTACAGTGTCCCAAAACTTTTTTGGAGTTAGTGCTACAGGATGCAAATTTCTGTTTGAAAAAGTTAGCCTTTGCTTTCCTAACTGCTTGTGTATACTGGTTCCTAACTTCCCTGAAAAGTTGCATATCGCGGGGGCTATTTGATGCTAATGCACTACGCCACAGGATGTTTTTGTGCTGGTCAAGGCAGTCAAGTCTGAGGAGAACCAGGGGCTATATCGGTTCTTAGTTCTGTATTTTTTGAATGGGGCATGTCTATTTAAGATTGAGAGGAAATTACTTTTAAAGAACAACCAGGCATCCTCTACTGACGGAATGAGATCCGATTACAGACTTACTTGCAGACCTTTGGCATTCTAGTTGTCAATTTGTTGAGGTAATCTGAAGGGATTTCACCCCATGCTTCCTGAAGCACCTCCCACAAGTTGGATTGGCTTGATGGGCACTTCTTACGTACCATACGTTCAAGCTGCTCCCACAACAGCTCATAGCCTTCATTTCTCAGAACAAGAATAGACTGACGAGTTTCAGAAGAAAGTTCTTTGTTTCTGGCCATTTTGATCCTGTAATCAAACCCACAATTGCTGATGCTCCAGATACTCAACTAGTCTCAAGAAGGACAGTTTTATTGCTTCTTTAATCAGCAACAACAGTTTTCAGCTGTGCTAACATAATTGCAAAAGGGTTTTCTAATGATCAATTAGCCTTTTAAAATGATAAACTTGGATTAGCAAACACAACGTGCCATTGGAACACAGGACTGATGGTTGCTGATATAATGGGCCTCTGTAGATATTCCATTAAAAATCAGCCGTTTCCAGCTACAATAGCCATTTACAACATCAACAATGTCTACACTGTATTTCTGATCAATTTAAATGTTATTTTAATGGACAAAAAATTGCTTTTCTTTCGAAAACAAGGAACTTTCTAAGTGACCCCAAACTTTTGAACGGTTTGTGTGGTGTGTGTGTTGTGTGTGTGTGTGTATGTATGTGTATATACACTGCTCAAAAAAATTAAGGGAACACTTAAACAACACAATGTAATTCCAAGTCCAATCACACTTCTGTGAAATCAAACTGTCCACTTAGGAAGCAACACTGATTGACAATAAATGTCACATGCTGTTGTGCAAATGGAATAGACAACAGGTGGAAATTATAGGCAATTAGCAAAATACCCCCAATAAAGGAGTGGTTTCTGCAGGTGGTGGACCACAGACCACTTCTCAGTTTCCTATGCTTCCTGGCTGATGTTTTGGTCACTTTTGAATGCTGGCGGTGCTTTCACTCTAGTGGTAGCATGAGACGAGTCTACAACCCACACAAGTGGCTCAGGTAGTGCAGCTCATCCAGGATGGCACATCAATGCGAGCTGTGGCAAGAAGGTTTGCTGTGTCTGTCAGCGTAGTGTCCAGAGCACGGAGGCGCTACCAGGAGACAGGCCAGTACATCAGGAGACGTGGAGGAGGCCGTAGGAGGGCAACAACCCAGCAGCAGGACTGCTACCTCCGCCTTTGTGCAAGGAGGAGCAGAAGGAGCACTGCCAGAGCCCTGCAAAATGACCTCAGCAGGCCACAAATGTGCATGTGTCTGCTCAAACGGTCAGAAACAGACTCCATGAGGGTGGTATGAGGGCCCGACGTCCACAGGTGGGGGTTGTGCTTACAGCCCAACACCGTGCAGGACGTTTGGCATTTGCCAGATAAAACACCAAGATTGGCAAATTCGCCACTGGCGCCCTGTGCTCTTCACAGATGAAAGCAGGTTCACACTGAGCACGTGACAGACGTGACAGAGTCTGGAGATGCCGTGGAGAACATTCTGCTGCCTGCAACATCCTCCAGCATGACCGGTTTTGGCGGTGGGTCAGTCATGGTGTGGGGTGGCATTTCTTTGGGGGGCCGCACAGCCCTCCATGTGCTCGCCAGAGGTAGCCTGACTGCCATTAGGTACCGAGATGAGATCCTCAGACCCCTTGTGAGACCATATGCTGGTGTGGTTGGCCCTGGGTTCCTCCTAATGCAAGACAATGCTAGACCTCATGTGGCTGGAGTGTGTCAGCAGTTCCTGCAAGAGGAAGGCATTGATGCTATGGACTGGCCCGCCCGTTCCCCAGACCTGAATCCAATTGAGCACATCTGGGACATCATGTCTCGCTCCATCCACCAAACGCCACGTTGCACCACAGACTGTCCAGGAGTTGGCGGATGCTTTAGTCCAGGTCTGGGAGGAGATCCCTCAGGAGACCATCCGCCACCTCATCAGGAGCATGCCCAGGCGTTGTAGGGAGGTCATACAGGCACGTGGAGGCCACACACACTACAGAGCCTCATTTTGACTTGTTTTAAGGACATTACATCAAAGTTGGATCAGCCTGTAGTGTGGTTTTCCACTTTAATTTTGAGGGTGACTCCAAATCCAGACCTCCATGGGTTGATAAATTTGATTTCCATTGATAATTTTGTGTGATTTTGTTGTCAGCACATTCAACTATGTAAAGAAAAAAGTATTTAATAAGATTATTTCATTCATTCAGATCTAGGATGTGTTATTTTAGTGTTCCCTTTATTTTTTTGAGCGGTGTGTATATATATATATATATATATATATATATATATACACACATTATACACTACCGGTCATAAGTTTTAGAACACCTACTCATTCAAGTTTTTATTTTATTTTTTAAAACTATTTTCTACACACACACACAGACACACACACACACACACACACATATATATATATACACACACACACACACACACGCTAGATATAGTTGTTTCTGTAGAATAAAGTTGCTGTGTGTGTTCAGTCAGGTGGAAGAGGAGTTTGGAGAGCTGGACGGCAGACGGAGAGAAGAGGAGGATGGAGAGGAGGAGGACGGGGAATCTTCTCGTCTCTGGGTGGATCAGTTCTCTCCTCAACACTACACTGAACTACTCAGCGACGACGTGAGTGGCTGGAACGGGAGTGGCTGGAACGGGAGTGGCTGGAACGGGAGTGGGCGAACGGGAGTGGGCGGAACGGGAGTGGGCGGAACGGGAGTGGGCGGAACGGGAGTGGGCGGAACGGGAGTGGGCGGAACGGGAGTGGGCGGAACGGGAGTGGCTGGAACGTGAGTGGCTGGAACGTGAGTGGCTGGAACGGGAGTGGGCGGAAACGGGAGTGGGCGGAAACGGGGTGGGCGGAACGTGAGTGTGCGGAACTGGAGTGGGCGAACGGGAAGGGGGCGGACGTGAATTGTGCGGAACTGGAAGTGGCGGAACGGGAGTGGGTGGAACAATTGAACAATAATAGAAAACCAGATATTGACTCCTGTTCTGGGTGTAACAGTGTCTGTGTGTGTATCATTTCTGTGTGTGTGTGTGTGTGTGTAGTTCACCAACCGCTGTTTGCTGAAGTGGCTAAAGCTGTGGGACCAGGTGGTGTTTGGACGAGAAAGGAAGACACGCCCACCCCCAGCCGAGAGGCCCGACCACAACACAGCCAATCAGGGTCAAGGACGCTTTCATTCCTCCAATAAGGGCCAGGGACGCTTTCATTCCACCAATTGGAGCAAGGGGAACTTTAATCAAGCCAATCAGAAATTTAAGACCAAGAGTCAGATCACTGAGGAGATTCTGGAGGCCGAACTGGACCAATACAAAAGGCCCAAATACAAGGTGGGTAGACCCACACATCACACCAAGGTAGGTAGACCCACACATCACCCCAAGTAGGTAGACCCACACATCACACAAGGTATGTAACCCACACATCATCACCAGTTAGGGAGACCCACACATCAAACACCAAGGTAGGGGAGACCCACACATCACACCAATGTCGGGGACCCACCATCACAAACCAAGTAGGTAGACCCACCAGCACACCACGGTGGTATACCCCACATCACACCAAGGTAGGTAGACCCACACATCACACAGACTGATCAATACAAGGTAGGTAGACCCACACATCACACCAAGGTAGGTAGACCCACACATCACACCAAGGTAGGTAGACCCACACATCACACCAAGGTAGGAGACCCACACATCACACCAAGGTAGGTAGACCCACACATCACACAGACGGATCAATACAAGGTAGGTGACCCAACACTCACACAGAACTGATCAATACAAGGGAGTAGACCCACACAATCACAACAAGGTAGTAGCCCACACATCACACCCAAGGTAGGTAGACCCACACATCACACCAGGTAGGTATACCCCACACCTCAACACCAAGGTATGTAGACCCCCCTCACACCAAGGTGGGTAGAACCCACACTCGACACAGACTGATCATACAGGTCGGTAACCCACACATCACCAGACTGATCAATAACAAGGTAGTAGACCCCACCATCACACCAAGGTAGGTAGACCCACACATCACACCAAGGTAGGGAGACCCACACATCACACAGACTGATCAATACAAGGTAGGTAGACCCACTCATCACACAGACTGATCAATACAAGGGTAGGTTAGACCACACATCACACCAAGGTAGGTAGACCACACTCACACCAAGAGGTAGACCCACCCATCACACAAGGTAGGTAGACCACACATCACACATAACTGATCAATCAAGTGGTAGACCCACACAATCACACCAAGGTCGGTATACCCACACATCACAAACATCACACCAAGGTAGGTAGACCCCACATCAAACCAAGGTAGGTAGACCCACACATCACACCAAGGTAGGTAGACCCACACATCCCAGCCCAAGGGGTAACCCACACTCACAAACACCAAGGTAGGTAGACCCACACATCACACCAAGGTAGGTAGACCCACACATCACACAGACTGATCAATACAAGTGTAAGGTAGAACCCACACTCATCACACCATGGTAGGTAGACCCACACATCACACGCAAGGTAGTGAAGACCCCACATCACACCAAGGAGTGACCCACACTCACACAGACTGGGGGGGGGGGGGGGATTTGTCAACTACAGTACGGAGACCCCCAAAACACATACACTGACTGATCAATACAAGGTAGGTAGACCCAACACATCACACCAAGGTAGGTTAGACCCACCCATCACAAACCCAGGTAGGTAGACCCACACATCACACACCAAGCTAGTAGACCCACACATCACACACAATGTGGGATACCCACCATCACACCCCCGACTGATCAATACAAGGTAGGTAGACCCACACATCACACCAAGGTAGGGATACCCCCACAATCACACCACGTGTGGTAGACCCACCATCACAGCCAAGGTAGGTAGACCCACACATCACACCAAGGTAGGTAGACCCACACATCAATAAGACGGAGATCAATACAAGGTATGTAGAAACCCCACCTCACACAAGGTAAGGTAGACCCACACGTCACACAGTCCTATATATCTAGTAGGTTAATATAGCTGGTTACCTGTCCCCCCTCCCACTAGGTGTGCTGCTGTCTGGTCCTCCAGGGTTATATAGCTGTTATAAATAGCTGGTTAAACCTGTCCTCCTCCCCACTAGGTGGTGCTGCTGTCTGGTCCTCCAGGGTTATAAAGCTGTTAATATAGCTGGGTTAACCTGTCCCCTTCCTCCCCACTAGGTGGTGCTGCTGTCTGGTCCTCCAGGGTTATATAGCTGTTAATTAGCTGGTTAAACCTGTCCTCCTCCCCCTAGGTGGCGCCTGCTGTCTGGTCCTCCAGGGTTATATAGCTTTTAATATAGCTGGTTAACCTGTCCTCCTCCCCACTAGGTGGGGCTGCTGTCTGGTCCTCCAGGTTATATAGCTGTTATATAGCTGGTTAACCTGTCCTCCTCCCCACTAGGTGGTGCTGCTGTCTGGTCCTCCAGGGTTATATAGCTGTTAATATAGCTGGTTAACCTGTCCTCCTCCCCCACTAGGTGGTGCTGCTGTCTGGTCCTCCAGGGTTATATAGCTGTTAATATAGCTGGTTAACCTGTTCCTCCTCCCCACTAGGTGGTGCTGCTGTCTGGGTCCTCCAGGGTTATATAGCTGTTAATATAGCTGGTTAACCTGTCCTCCTCCCCACTAGGTGGTGCTGCTGTCTGGTCCTCCAGGGTTATATACTGTTAATATAGCTGGTTTAACCTGTCCTGCCTCCCCCCTGGTGGTTGCTGCTGTCTGTTCCTCCAGGTTTATATAGCTGTTAATATAGCTGGTTAACCTGTCCCCTCCCCACTGGTGGTTGCTGCTGTCCCTGTTCTGTCCTCCAGGGTTATTCTAGCTGTTAATATAGCTGGTTAACCTGTCCTCCTCCCATAGGTGGTGCTTGCTTGGCTGGTCCTCCAGGTTATATAGCTGCTTAATATAGCTGGTTAACCTCCTCCTCCCCCTAGGTGGTGCATGCTGTCTGGTCCTCCCGGGTTAGATGCTGTTAATATAGCTGGTTACCTGTCCCCTCCCACTAGGTGGTGCTGCTGTCTGGTCCTCCAGGGGTTATATAGCTGTTATATAGCTGGTTACCTGTCCTCCTCCCCCTAGGTGGTGCGGCTGTCTGGTCCTCCAGGTTATAATAGCGTTAATTAGCTGGTTAACCTGTCCTCCTCCCCCTAGGTGGTGCTGCTGTCTGGTCCTCCAGGGTTATATAGCTGTTAATATAGCTGGTTAACCTGTCCTCCCCCCACTAGGTGGTGCTGCTGTCTGGTCCTCCAGGGTTATATATCTGTTAATATAGCTGGTTAACCTGTCCTCCTCCCCACTAGGTGGTGCTGCTGTCTGGTCCTCCAGGGTTTATAGCTGTTAATATAGCTGGTTAACCTGTCCTCCTCCCCACTAGGTGGTGCTGCTGTCTGGTCCTCCAGGGTTATATAGCTGTTAATATAGCTGGTTAACCTGTCCTCCTCCCCACTAGGTGGGTGCTGCTGTCTGGTCCTCCAGGGTTTATAGCTGTTAATATACTGGTTAACCTGTCCTCCTCCCCACTAGGTGTGCTGCTGTCTGGTTCCTCCGGGTTATATAGCTGTTAATATAGCTGGTTAACCTGTCCTCCTCCCACTAGGTGGTGCTGCTGTCTGGTCCTCCAGGGTTATATAGCTGTTAATATAGCTGGTTAACCTGTCCTCCTCCCCACTAGGTGGTGCTGCTGTCTGGTCCTCCAGGTTATATAGCTGTTAATATAGCTGGTTAACCTGTCCTCCTCCCACTAGGTGGTGCTGCTGTCTGGTCCTCCAGGGTTATATAGCTGTTAATATAGCTGGTTAACCTGTCCTCCTCCCCACTAGGTGGTGCTGCTGTCTGGTCCTCCAGGGTTATATAGCTGTTAATATAGCTGTTAACCTGTCCTCCTCCCCACTAGGTGGTGCTGCTGTCTGGTCCTCCAGGGTTATATAGCTGTTAATATAGCTGGTTAACCTGTCCTCCTCCCCACTAGGTGGTGCTGCTGTCTGGTCCTCCAGGGTTATATAGCTGTTAATATAGCTGGTTAACCTGTCCTCCTCCCCACTAGGTGGTGCTGCTGTCTGGTCCTCCAGGGTTATATAGCTGTTAATATAGCTGGTTAACCTGTCCTCCTCCCCACTAGGTGGTGCTGCTGTCTGGTCCTCCAGGGTTATATAGCTGTTAATATAGCTGGTTAACCTGTCCTCCTCCCCACTAGGTGGTGCTGGCTGTCTGGTCCTCCAGGGTTTATATAGCTGTTAATATAGCTGGTTAACCTGTCCTCCTCCCCACTAGGTGGTGCTGCTGTCTGGTCCTCCAGGGTTATATAGCTGTTAATATAGCTGTTACCTGTCCTCCTCCCCACTAGGTGGTGCTGCTGTCTGGTCCTCCAGGGTTATATAGCTGTTAATATAGGCTGTTTAACCTGTCCTCCTCCCCACTAGTGGTGCTGCTGTCTGGTCCTCCAGGTTATATAGCTGTTAATATAGCTGGTTAACCTGTCCTCCTCCACTAGGTGGCGCTGCTGTCTGGTCCTCCATTGTTATTATAGCTGTTAATATAGCGGGTTACCTGTCTCCTCCCCACTAGGTTGGCGGCGCTGCTGTCTGGTCCTCCAGGGTTATATAGCTGTTTAATATACTGGTTAACCTGTCCTCCTCCCCACTAGGTGGTGCCGTGTCTGGCTCCAGGGTTTATATATAGGCCTGTTTAAATAGCTGGTTAACCTGTCCTCCTCCCCATAGGTGGTGCTGCTGTCTGTTCCTCCAGTGTTATTATCTGTTAATATAGCTGGGTAACCTGTCCTCCTCCCCACTAGGTGCGCGCTGTCTGGGTCCTCCAGGTTGGTGGCATATAGCTGTTATATAGCTTGGTTAAGGCTGTCCTCCTCCCCACTATGTGGTGCTGCTGTCTGGTCCTCCAGGTATATAGCTGTTAGGTGGATGAGGGGGGGGGGATCTGTTACCCTGTCCTCCTCCCGGGCACTAGGGGGTGCTGCTGCTGGTCCTCCAGGTTTCTCAGCTGTTAATAATATAGGCTGTTTGTGCCTTTGCCTGGGGGCTCCCCACTAGGTGGTGCTGCGTCTGGTCCTGGGGGCCAGGGTTAGATAGCTGTTTACTATAGCGGGTTAACCTGTCCTCCTCCCACTAGGGGGTGGCGCTGCTGTCTGTCCTCCAGGGTTTATATGCTGTTACTGATGCTGGTTAACCTGGGTCGCGGTGGCGCTCGGCCGGGCACAGGGGGGGTGTGGTGCTGGCTGTGCCTGGTACCCTGGGCCAGGGTTATATAGCTGGTTAACTATACGCTGGTTTAACCTGTCCTCCTCCCCCCTAGGTGGGTGCTGCTTTCTGGTCCCAGGGTATATATCTGTTCTATAGCTGTAACGCTTCCTCCTCCCCACTAGGTGGTGCTGCTGTTGCGGTGTCCTCCCGTGTTTATACTGTTATATAGCTGGTTCACTGTCCCTCCTCCCACTGGTGGTGCTGGTCTGTCTGTTCCTCCATGGTTATATAGCTGTTAATATAGCTGGTTAACCTGTCCTCCTCCCAACAGGTTGGTGCTCTGTCTGTCCTCCAGGTTATATAGCGTTAATACGCTTTGTTAACCTGTCCTCCTCCCCACTAGGTGGTGCTGCTGTCCTGGTCCCCCGGGTATATAGCTGTTAATCATAGCCTGGTTACCTGTCCTCCTCCCCCACTAGGGTTTTTGGTTGCTTGCGGTCTGGTCCTCCAGGTTCTCTATCTGTTAAATAGCTGGTTAACCTGTCCTCCTCCCCACTAGGGGGTGCTGCTGTCGTCCTCCAGGGGTTATATAGCTGTTTTAATATAGCTGTTAACCTTTCCTCCCCCTAGGTGGTGCGCTGTCTGGTCCTCCAGGGTTATATATATAGCTGTTAATAAGATAGGCTGTTTAATCCTGTCCTCCTCCCCACTAGGTGGTGCTGCTGTCTGGTCCTCCAGGGTTATTATCTGTTAATATAGCGGTTAACCTGTCCTCCTCACCCACTAGTGGTGCTGCTGTCTGGTCCTCAGGGTTAATAGCTGTTAATAAGCTGGTTAACCTGTCCTCCTCCCCACTAGTTGGGCTGTCTGTCTGGTTCCTCCCAGGGTTTATGCTGTTAATATAGCTTGTTAACCTGTCCTCCTCCCCACGAGGTGGTGCTGGCTTCCTGTCCGCCAGGTTATAGAGCTGTTATATAGCTGGTTAACCTTCTCCTCCCCTAGGTGGGCTGCTGTCTGGTCCTCCAGGGTTATATAGCGCTGTTGATATGCTGGTTAACCTGTCCTCCTCCCCACTAGGTGGTGCTTGTCTGTCTGGTCCTCCAGGGTTATATATCTGTTTAATATAGCTGGTTATCATTCCTCCTCCCCACTAGGTGGTGCTGCTGTCTGGTCCTCCAGGGTATTATATGCTTTAATATGCTTGTTAAACCTGTCCCTCCTCCCCACTAGGGGGTGCTGCTGTCTGGTCCTCCATGGTTTAATAGCTGTTTAATATAGCTGGTAACCTGTCCTCCTCCCCACTAGGTGGTGCTGCTGTCTGGTC